TTCCTGCACCGAACGTGCGGGTGATAAAACTGTTAGTTAATGACGGATATTAACAGTTTTTCTAGGTTTATGGGTATACTCTTTCTGATTTTGCAAATGTTTTCCCTAAAAAGATAGTGCACACGGGAGTGAGATAAAATTCTGATCTTCAGGAAAGTCGCTATAGCATCTCAATTTTTCAAGTGTAACGACCTTATAAATAGTAATGTGCAATATGCATCTCTTCTGATACTATTTCTAATGGAAGCACATTGACCACAGAATAATTTACTTTCTTAAAGGTATTACGTAATCCAATGGACCGTGACCTACTATTCCACAACAGAAACTATTAAAACTGTTGCAGCACAATAATGCAAGCCAATATTTGATGTTAATTAGGAATTAATTACGGTGTTTCTATTGGAGATCGATTTGAAGTCTTTTAATTAACCGTCTTCTGGTCACAACTATAAAGTTTTATGCTTTCATACAGACCTACTTGTTTTTAAAAGAGCGATTACATCTACCACACTGAGGTTTTATGATTTTTTTTAACCTACGAAGAAAAACATTGAACGTCCTGTGTCTGTTTTGCAACATGTAACTTTCTAAGGGATAATAGATCTTCGCGAAAAATTAAAAGATGCCCAGATTTAAATGCCTGCAAAATGGGTCACTTTTTCTTGACCGTTTGACAGACAGAACGCTCTAATTATGTTACCGTCGAAATGAAATATGATACACGATACCACAGTGGTAGCTTTATAGAATAAAGAAGGGTGGTAGGTAGGTAGTATCTTAAACAAGTAAATGAAAATTTTTAAATAATGATTAACCACTAATTCAAATGTATGTATACCTCCTATTAGTTACTGGGAAATCTAAAAACTTGGGAAATTGCTCATTAAAACATGTTTTAAACCTTATAATATAATGACTGTTAATCCTCAATGTGTATTTTGGAATTTTACAGTAGAGAATTATTTTTGATTATAATGACATGTTATGGATGTCTACTTTGTGTTTCCTAAAATAGGTACGTAAATATTCAATTTTCCAGAAAATGCCATGGAAACAACAGTCGATCGCTATATAATTAGGTACCGTCGAAGTTTTTTCAGTAAAACGAGATTTGATTGAAATGTGAATAATAATTAGGGATTACGCTTAGTTGTTTTTAAAATATAATAATCAGTCGATATTGTTATAAATAATTAACTGCCGTTCTTTGTTTAGGAGAACAGGTAGGTAGTTTAGCAAAACAAGCTGACTAAATCATCGTACCAAAATACCATTAGACGATCACAGAAAAACGAAAGCTATACGTCTGTTTTCCTGCAAAATAAAGTGGAAGATTTAGCTTACTTCATTTCTAGTGAAAACTAACCGAATTAGCCTAAAAGGGTTTTCCATTTCAATCTCTTACATATATTAGATAATATAATTAGATCCCCCATGGCGACAAAAATTCGCATCTCGTAGGTAGTCTTCGCAACATCGAATCAGAGAAACCGCAATTTATCCCACCATGAGAAACATAATGTGCTAGGTACCTTTTTTAAGACATTAAATTTCACAGGCTATTCTAATTAATTAAAAATGTAGATTACTCCACTCAACTACGTACGTTGGCAGCCAGGAAATGAATTGTATGGAAATTTCTTAATTCTTATGGTCGAAATGAATGGCACAATATTTAATGTCTGCATGAAATCTGATTAACAAAATATGAAAGTCACGTTTTGCAGTTTACAATTTTTTAATAAGGTTTCGATCCACTTCGTTTATTTGATTACCCAAATATTCGGCACTCCAAACATTATAATAATTATGAATTAGAGAAAGTCATTATTTATTGCCGTAAATCAAAGGATTAAACATCGATGTGAAGAGAAACGAAATGAAGGAAAGTAGCTAAATTATAGAAAAAACGTATAGGTACTATTTTTACTCAGTTTTTAGTATGCAAGTGCGAATTCGTAAAAAAACAGTGTTTATGGTTAAATTGAAAGTGCAAATCAGAATTTTATACCCCCACAAATGGTGGTGATAAAAGAAAATAATGGAGTTAGAACCTAAGAACTTTTAGAATTTTTGAAAGGCCAATTCAGCGACTGCGTTCTATTCGCGTCATAAATCATTTTATTTTCGAATTTAAATTTTTCACGTTTTCAAGTTTCTGTCAAAGTTTGTTTGATTACCTCTGAAGTAACCAATTATTCCAAGACTTAATACCTATATGGCATGAATATTCAGTGCGGTTGCCATTGTTTTTTTGATACCAAATTATTCATTTGCTTTTACTTTGCTTTTGTTTATGTCCAGTTTCTATGGTGATACATTTTTGAATTCATATTTGTGGTGCGGGGGAGAATATTTGCGATTCCGGATGAAATAGTATTACGATCATTTGTAAGAGGCGAGACGAAATTTTATCGTTGTTGCTTTATAAATCTACACGTCATTTTTTGTACGCGTCTAGCATACCTTGTATTAATAAATTAAAATTTAATTTGTTTTAGTTTTTATATTAAAAATAAATGTTTAATTTAAAACTTTTACACCTATTGTTTTTTATCAAACCGTAATGTGCCCTTTTACATTTCGTATAGACATACCCATTAGCAAATTTGTAATTATGTCAGAACCGACGGATATAAGCACCGTTTTGCAATAAATTATAGCAGTTACGAAAGCAGTTTTATCAACTATTGTAGAAATTATTATAAACAGTAATTGTAGTCCTTCACATCAACATTAATACCCATTGAATTTTTATGGATGGCGCAATAAGAATCCTTGTTTGATCACTCCCCAATATTGGGTACGTGAAGGGCGTGCAAGTTGGAACATTTGGGTCTAATTTTGAGACATGGAAACGCTTAGGTACTTGTGGCTATAACTTTATGTATTTATAATTTTCTGTGTTGCATTAGTTAGTGTTGCCCAGGAATAGGCAGGGTGGTAATGTGTTATGTAGTATTTTTAAAGTGCAGAAGTAGACACTGCTTAAAATTTTAAACGTTTTTTAACTTCAATTTGATAAACGTATATGACACTACTTTGATTTGTCATGTTGGAATATTGGTTTATTTACTTTTAGCCTAGGAAAATTACCCCAAAAAAAGATTGCGCTGGCAAATAAATATGCACAAGTTGGAAATGATTTTAATCGACAATAGACATCCCAAATAAGTGTTAAATGAGTTTGCGACGGATTCTGACTTGCGGTAAACTTTTGAGAATCGATTAATCGAAAAATCATTCAAGCACAAACGATTGGCACAAAACATTTCGTTTGTACTTCCAAAAGTGGTGTGAAGTTGGCACGGAAAACGGGTACCCTGTACCTCACAAAGGGGTGGACGGGCTGGGTTATTTTTTGTGCACCAATCAACACTAACGAATGGGACAAAACATTTCGTCAGTGGTTCCATTACTGTGCTAACTTCCTGTAGCGCTTTATCAACGTATCGGAAAAATGAATTAAGCTGAGGTTTTAGCGCCCGTATCTTAAAAGGGCTACCCCAAATGAAAGCATCAACCTAAAAATAGCGAAACTTAACATAATTTTAAAATTAACGCATTTCTCTGATTGATCCATACGATCTTTTCGCCAAATTGCATCCATAACATTCTTACCTTGGACATGAGTTAATTTATCGCAACGAAATTGATGCATAAGTTTGACATCTAGGGTCCTTAGTGGGTTGCAAACTTTCGGAATGTAGTTGCAAAGACAATGTAGAAATACCAATAAAACCGTATAATCAAATATAAGGTTTAATTAATGGAAAAATACAAGAAATCATCAATAAATGAACTAACGTTTCAAATTTCTTGAACTGTACCTTTAAGCACGTGAACATGTAACTTTTTAAAACAATTCTTTATGTAAATGTTTGGGTTCAGCTGAGGAAAACATAAAGACTGCTAAATGTTCTCGAGGAGAGGAGCCCGCCCTATGTCATCCGTTACTTTTTTTTTTAGACAATATCCAACAACTCTGGCAAAAGAACATAATAAGAAACGCCTTACCTCAATGTTGAGAGAAAAATTATGTGGTAATGGGTATCAGGCTCTATTTGTTGAATTGAAGACGCCGTTCGTCGGTTTCGAAATAAAGCGTGCAGAAGAAGTTAAACAATATTAATAACAGATTTAAGTTATCGCTAAGTGAAGTAATAAAGTGAAAGGTTTTTTTTAAACGGATTGTCCGTAACCAGAAGAAGCTAGTTCTAGTGTGAGTAAACAAAAGTTAATAGTTTCTAATGTCCGAGCAGTCACCGAAAATTATTTTTCATTTTATTTAACACCAGTTTAATAAAGAAAGTAAAGTTCCCTCAGCTGTCAGCGAGTGTTTTTGTGTCTTTGATAAGTCCCCCTTTTACTTGGATTAAAGGAAAAAAACTGTAAAGAAAATAGATTTTTTTTTATTTTTAATTGTCGACCGCTTGCGTGCAGAGTAATATCATTGTATTTATACCAAATACAATGGTAATATGTCCAAACAGACTTTGTAAGCTTTTCTTTCTGTCAGGGTTTTTGTTCTAATTGTTTCATGTATCTCGGAATTTGTCATTGTCAAATCAATTAATTGTGTTTATTCGATTCCTTTGTGCGACCCAGATACAGTTTTCTTGTCAGATTTTTTCTATTGGTGCTCAAGATTTATTTCAGGTTCACGGTCGCGCATACAGAAGTTTGATAAAAAATTATGGTCCCTTTTGAAATTGACTCCAGCTTCAACCTAAGAGAAAAAATGTATACTATCCAAATAAAGGTCTTCGTGAAAATTATATACCGGTAATGTACAAGACGCTTTAGAGCAAAAAAGGGACCACGTCATAACCTTCAACGTCTTCTCAGTAATTGCGACTATTGTTGTGGGTAGTTTTACCGCCATAATAAAAAATTAACAATCCCCGCCGTAAATTACACAACGTAAATACAATGTACAATAAAATTCTAGACGCCACATTCATAAGATTCTTTATAATTTATACTTTTAATTACAGAACGTTTGGCGCCGCAGGATCAGTATTGGTAAATGGGGAACCGAGAAATATGAAGCAATTTCGAAAAATGTCCCGTTACATTATGCAAGACAATCTTCTACAGCCGATGCTAACTGTCGAAGAACTGATGATGGTAGCTGCCGATCTAAAATTGAATCGACAGTTAAGCAAAGAAGATAAATTAACCGCGGTAAGAATCACTTGCCAAGACTTTCTTCTTGAGAATAATGAAGACTTTATTCATTGTCACGTCAATATTTTTTTTATTATTATAATGTCGTGAGAATTGCCTCCCGTATAAAAAGTTTTACTTTTGTACAAGCTGAAGATGACATAGAGATCATTGAGATCATTCCAATGCCATTCATTTCTATTTGAACCTTTGATGCAATTCGCATCCGCATTCAACCGCAAGAATCATTGAAAAATGGGAGCATCCGTTGCCTTTTAATTTTTTTGTGCAATTTGCGTACTTCAGTTTCTTTTAAATTATTTTCTCAATTGGATAATTGTTTTGGTGCTTGTTCATTTTATGCACAAACTGATTAATCGTGTTGTCATTAGCATTACATTACAATTTTATGTAAGTCATCGCGCCTTATCTTTAAAGTAAGTCATTCTTCAACCTTCAGATTTATTTTCCTACTCTCTAGCTCCTATATTGAGACGACCGAAGTAATTGTCCTCGTACATATATCGACCTGTAACTGGAATGTATCAGGATTTTATTATCCCACCTGCGTTGAATAGAAATTGAATATTGTTCTTCCATTTAGTCAAGAGGGAGGAGATTTTGATTTATGATATGTGAAAATCTACTTTTACCAACACCTGCTTAACATGGTGCTGATCGAGAGTTCAGAGGAAGCACTTAGAACGTCAATTTACGAAATATACATCAATCAGACAGATCATTAACGGTTCAGGATGTTGATGTAGATACAACAAATTACACACGGTTTTTATTCTTAACTAAGCAAAGACAGAAAGGGTCGCAAAAAAGTTTGACATGGTTAGATAAATGACAGTCAAAAATAATTTAGTAATTTATTCCATTGATTTTTCTTAAATAAAGGAAAGTTTTGAAGATTACGTAAAGAATGTCAGCGCAGTTACTACCGTAAACATTCAAAAACCAATTTTACCTGAGGCTTGTCCAGGTACTAGTAGAACTGGAGTGTTATATTTTCTAACGGGAAAATTGACAAATGAAATGGTAATTTTCCATATGATCCTGGCCGTGTCAGACTACTTTAGATATTTTCCGTTACAATTTCAGTTAAGTAAAATGTACCTATGATCTGTAGCAGCTACGAAAATTATTGTTAAAGCATTGAGTAATTAAATATGGTTAAAGTAATAGTTGTCAGTGAAATTAGACGAATTTATCGGCCCTTAGGTTGGTATGTTGTACCTGGACCTGGAAGTTAAATCCCCCATATCGAGTTTTTTCCAAATTCTTTATCATCCTGGAAAATTTGCATGTCAGCCAAAATCTAAAATATTACAAAGAAGCTCGTGTAACAGACAAACCTTTTCAATTTGCAAAATTTTATTCAAAATTTCTAAAAGACATACCACATTGGTGGTAATTTGCGCCACTTTCTATTTCTGCTAGAGTTACGACTAGACACAGGACTTCTACGCAGTATATAATTCTAAAATATGCATTCAAATGGTCACGTATGCACTTATATTAAATATGCAACAAGTTAGTAATTATACATTCAATTAAATGGAGGTTTGTGTTTCCCTGTATAAAGGTGCTCATTGAATTATGTGTAAACATCGGCATCTTTCTTTGGAAAAAACTACAAATTAACAAATATAACTGCATAATACAGAAAAGGAACGTTTTCTTTGTACTTACATCCTTGAGCTTCAATTTTAAATAAAAAAAAGCAATTATTTTTCATACAAAAATTCATGGGAATGAAACTGTTGTTCAATTATTCATACTCGTGCACGTCAATGGTTGCAATATGCCACTTACGTGGTCTTTTTTGCATGGGAATCACTTTGAACACTGCACGGCGATTTTCAAATTATCTTTTAAAGTACGTCCCAAATTAGGATGTGGGGTTTTGGAAGGCGGATAACCTTCGTTTGGAACAGAGACAATACAAGTTAAAGAAACATAAAGGACGTAGTATGCACATTTTACCTCGGCCATCATACGAAGATTATATCAAATAGATTTTTTCTGACAAAGAAAGGAGTAGGAGCAGCCTTACCTTAGCGAAACAGAAAGGGCCACCTAAATCATGTCTCGTCCTTGAAGTGACCTAACAAATCTGATAAAATCGTCGTAGGAAGGAACTCTGGTGGGAGTCTAAGAAATATTTTTAGAAACCTCAATATTAACTTCGAAATTTTGCTTTTGGAAATGTCTTTAGAGACAGTCTCACAAATCGTCTTTGTCTCAGAAATCAAAGATATCTTTGCGGAAATATCCTTAGTGTTGTTTTCCCGAAACGATTTTTTTTCGAAAAACAGACGAAATCACCAGAACATCTGGAAAACACCCAGACCTAAATGCGTAGTGTCGTTTTGATAACCACGAAAGATTATGCCTACACCATAATATTTAATTTACGTAGATAAGTTGAATTACCATAAATAATTCTAAACAGTTTTATTTGGCATGAAAATTCCATTAACAGGCAAGTGCCACTACAGCCAAACTCCTCCAGGAAATATACTACCTATAAAAATCGTGTTTAAAGATATTGAATCTAAAAAACCTCAAGAGGTACTATAAACGGCCGAAACAGTTCAACTGTTCAACAGCCCTTAGGTACAGAGGGGAATGGGTATTTAAAAATGCACGCGAATTGGCATGGAGAGGTAATGGACGAGGTAATGAAGATATCTATTGTTTATTGACGTTTTATAAAGAATAATGTACCTAAATTTAATTGTTTCCGAGTTATCGAGTTTTGAAAACAAACGCTATTGTTTTAAAATTTATTCAATGACGAACAATCATGAGTGGCATTACGAATTTGTTTTGAAAACATTATGTGGCTCTGAAACGAACCGATTGTGCTGTTTGTTATGATTGTTTGGAATCATTGATTCTTGTTCTTCATTCAATCAATTTTTGAACAATAGTTTCAATGACTTAGATTGCTAGCTCTGTTGCGATTTTGTTGTCTAAATATATTTATTTTGTCCTTTGTCATTTTACCTAATTGTCATCTTGTCTAAGAAAATAGGTTTTAAATTTATATTGTATTGGTAGATAATTTATGGTCAATTACCTATGTCTGTGAAAAAATGACGTGTGAAAATACTTGTAAGTATAAATCACCAATAAAGCATACATACATACATACATAATCATTCAATAACTCTTAAAATGATAGCGTTTATTTTCAAAACCCGATAACCCGGAAACGATTGAATTTGGGTGCATTACGCTTCTTACAAATTTTGCTTAAAATTAAGAGAAGCATTGACATACCGGATACTATACACTATGTCTGTTTTAAAAAATGAAATTTTGTTGTGCCACGCCTTTATGACCAATCGTGTATAATTAAAATTATTATACCCTAGTAGACATTGAAGAGACCTAAAACTATTGTAGAATGCTTTTTTTTATTTTCTTCGACAACCGCGCGTTTCCAGACTTGTGAGCCACCCTGTATTAATCAGAGAGTGGATGGAAAAACGGCCACTACATACTACATGCAAATGAATTATACATTAAAATTAAAATATAAAAACCGTTGATATAACTGGTATCTTATTTTCAATATTATGCTATGCTGGTTGAAAATAGAATTTAAAAATCTATTAAATAATCTAAAAATCCAATATGGCACCTATTGAACCTTAGGATGTTGGTTAATGCTCTTCAAAACTAGCCATCTTGAATTTTTTTGGCATCAATTCTAAATTAAGCGTATCAAAGGCAGTAACTTTTATAGAAAACTTGCTTTTGTGTCTCGTAGGCTTTCGATGATAGATACAAGACATTTAAGGAAATCGCCGATTTTAGTTTTTTTGAAATTGCGTCCAACCTATTCGACATTTTGAACTTTCACCAGCAAATTTTAAATATTTAAGCATCTAAAACTGCAAAACATTGTCTCTTTAACCAATTCTCTATCTTTAATAATAAGAAAGTTACCCATGGTTTGTATCGTAATAACATTGCGACAAAATTTAGTTTCTTCTGCAACTTTTTCATTATAAAGATATATTTTCCCGCATCTTTATGAAAGTATAAACATTACTGTGTTTTAATTATGATCTTTTCCTCCGTATAATTATTAATGCTATGCGCTATCAAAAAAGTAATACAGGCGTCATGTACTTTTTTTGAGCCAATCTTAAAATGGTAATGCCAAATAAGAATATGCTCCATATTTTGTCGCAGAATGTTTATAGAAATGAATAAAAAGTTCCATTTATTTCGGTAAAATCAAAATTTGAAGTTCATTCGCTTTTATGAGATACAGGGGAAAATAAAAAAAATTGTCAGTCGGAATAACCCTACATTTACAGTGATGTACAGTGTTGTATTAGACTCTCCAAATGGGGGCGAATGGTAATTATTGTAAAGGAAGGTCTTACAACGATTAACCGCTAACCCTATATTTTCTTAGTTAAAAAAGGTGCCGTCTTCAGAATAAGTATACGGGTTCGGATCTAACCCAGTTTTTTAAATAGAATACTCCGTATATTTTAATCCAAAAAGATTAGCAGATTTATAGTCTCTTTTCAAAAATTTAACATATCATAAAGATATACGACCAAAGAAATCCCTGGTTTGAGTCCTGCTGCGGGTAGGTTTTTGGGACCCGAAGAATATCCATCAAAGACTGATGGAAAAGCACTAAAAGCACGAGTTGACCAAGTCATCAAGAAAGTATTTGATCGCCCAGTAAAAATTTCGGTTGCCGCTAAGAAATGAGTGTTTTTAAAATGCTACGTGCAGATTTAGGAATGAGCAATGGTTCCCAACCGTGCTCAGCCCTAAACAAAAATTCCGAGGAGAATTTGACTGCTTTATCCTAAGGTGAAGACTTTTCTATATAATTGTAACGGGAGTAAGACATAAACGTCTGGGAAGCTACTACGATTACTACGAAACAAGAGTCTATGCAGTGGGTTAATAAAGGGTCTCAGTTGCCCAAGAAGATGAAAAGCATTTTTAGGCGCCGAGGGGATTTTTTAATTGAGTTTATGCCAAACGAATCTACGATACGGGACAGTCCTCACCTGTCACCTTGCAACTATTATCTCTTTCTAAAAGTAAAAAAAAAACACTTAAAAGGGCGTCGATTTTTATTGAATGACTGCGGGTGTACATAAATAAATTCATAAGGGCAGGGGTTACGCCGGGGAAAGGAAAATGCTATTTAATACTTGTTCTCAGAGATTTCCAAAAATCTGTTAACAAGTTTTGAAATGTATGAAAGCTATACAATTTATTATTTCATCTCTTTGTTCAGCTTTCTGCTAAGTTCTATTTAATTATATAGTAAATTGATATACCTTAGGCTCGGTGCCCATCGGGACGCGTAGAATGTTTTCTATCAAGAAAGTTAGAAATACGTTCGGGGTAATGGGGCAGGGTATCAGGTATCGATGTCCTTTGCGCATTTCTCCATTACTCCCTACGTATTTCTGACTATCTTAATAAATAACAATCTCGGCGTCCCGATTACTTTGCACGTCATGTGTACCGGGCCTTAGGTAGGCCTAGCGGTGAATTTTGGCGTAGAATTGTGATTGCATTTTAATTTTTTGTAAGTATATATAATCACGAAAACTTCAAATCTAGATAGTGATGATCTATGTAATTAATGTGAAAGTATCCGGAAGGAGGTTAAGTGCAATTTATGCATAAAAGTGATTAATATCTTCATTAAGATTTGATCGGGATAATTACAGGCATAAATTATCTGTCGAAGTTTTATAGACACTGAAAAATTTGTACGGTTTCAGATTACGGAAATACTTGTTATCTTGAGATTAGCGGGAGCACGACATACGGCAACAAATCAATTATCCGGAGGCGAGAAGAAGCGACTTTCGGTAGCGTTGGAATTAATAAATAATCCTCCTGTGATTTTTTTGGATGAGCCCACAACGTAAGTATGCTGTCATTTTTTTCCCACATTTTATCGTCTACACTCTATAATTAAGTACACATATAAAACGCCCTACCCTTAGGGTTAGCCGCGTAGTTGAGTTTGGTGCCAATTCTGATATCTTCTTTCTAGTTTTTTTGGAGGTTCTATATTACATTATTATAACTCAGAAGTTTGGTGTATTTTACAGTATTTAGATTTTTCAATGCCTGTGCTATTTAGTTTTCTTAGAAAACTTTCTTTGGAATTTCAAAGGTTTTAATCACAATTTCAATTTTTAAGATTTCTGGTCTGAAATGGTCCAAGCTATTCAGTGTGATAACTCCCATGTCGCCGTACTTGGTAAAAAGGGAGAAGGTTCGCATGTTTATAAAATTCGTGAAATTGTCGCACAGTCATTTAGTCCAAGGTACTCTCAAGTGCGGTCAGCCATAACTAATGGCGCCATATTTTTGACGATTTAAAAAAACAAATTTTGTCACCTATCAATCATTACGAAGCATTGTTTTTATCTTGACGACTTATGATTTAACAAATAAAAATGCTTAATTTGATTTGCACAAATTTTCTTTTCAGAGGATTGGACCACCAGTCAAGTACCCAGTGTATCTCATTACTAAAGCTCCTTGCAGAAGGTGGACGAACAGTAATATGTTCAATACACGCCCCTAGTGCGAAACTAATATCCCAATTTGACAACGTCTACATTGTCTCGGCGGGGCAATGCATGTTTCAAGGGAACGGAGAGGAGATCGTACCTTTTCTAAGCAAGGTTGGACTTGACTGTCCGAAACACTACAGCCCCGTCGATTTCAGTAAGTATGCCAAGCTCTTAGGTTAGATTCAAATTCGTGCTGCAGTTATCGAAGTTGCCAATGGCGACTACGGCTATGAATTCTTGGATAAGATGTCATCGTGCATGGATAACGGTCGAAATACTAACTATCTCAAAAAGGACGTGAAAGACGTACACCAAAGCATTAACGAAATAAATTCCGCGTCGACGTCAAACGAAAAGAAGATTAGCCCATACAATTACGACTGCTCGGTGTGGTACCAATTCAAGATATTACTGAAGAGGTTTTGGTTACAAACATTTAGAGACTCTGTACGTATCATGGGATGGAAATGAATCTAATTGTCAGAGATATTTTAGGGATATTTAATTTTCAAAATGGTACTATATGCGGTGTTAGGTATTCTTTTGGGCAGTTTCTATTTAAATATGGGACATGACGGTTCGATGACGATCTACAATTTTGGGTTTTGCTACACCTGCATAATTGCGTTTTTATACCTGCCATTGATGCCGGTTCTACTTCACTGTAAGTAGACAGTTTTTCTAACAAAAGGGATAATTGCGAGCCCCAACAGTTCCTGTAGAAGTACAAATAATAAAAAGGGAGCACTTTAATCAGTGGTATGGTCTAACAGCCTACTACTTAGCTATGAGTTTTACGACTCTACCCTTGCATACGGTGATGACGGTGGGGTACGTTAGTATCGCCTACTTTATGAGCGATCAACCAATAGAGTTGCAAAGGATATCTATGTTCCTTTTGGTGTGTGTGTTAACAACTTTTATATCGGAAAGTTTCGGACTAATGATTTCATCAGTATTAAATTTAGTGGTAAGTGCAGTATTCTAATTTTGATAATAACCACAGTTAGACGTTTCAGAATGGTATGTTCTTGGGACCATGCCTCGCTGTGCCTATCATGCTCTTGGCAGTTTACGGAATTGGGCAAGGATCCGATATTCCACCACTGATACGTTTCGCAATGTACTTTAGTTACCTACGTTACGGAATGGAAGGCTTAATCATCGCCATTTACGGATACGACAGACCAGTACTACCGTGTCCAGAAGAAGTGGACATATGTCCGCTGCGCGATCCGGCGTATTTAATTAAGTTTATGGGAATGGCGAATGTGATATTTTGGGTGGATATATTAGCACTCATCGCTTGTTTTCTCATATTTCGTTTGGCAAGTTTTTACTTCTTGCGCCAGAGGTTACGACCGAATAAAACTTTTGCAGCATTACATGTTATCGGTAGAATTGTTAAGTCACACTTCAGCATCAGTAGATAGCTTTCTTGTTTTTAGGTACAACTTGAATTAGGTTACCTCGATTGTTTTTTTTTAGCAAAATATACTTTACCTATCAGTCTTTCGTTTATTTTCAGTAGTTCAACAACCGTCCACACCTGATGTGTCATTTCACGAAGACTCCTATCGGCCAAACTTTCAAATGAATCGACCACTGAATGTTGGAGCACATTTCTAACAGACTGATGCAAAGGATGACTGTATGTGATGTGAATAACAAGTTTTACAATATACACTTTCATAAGTCATTAATTATTAATCTATTTGAATCGTAAATCTATGGGTGCGGTCACTAGGATTAATAATTTAGAGACAACCGAAGCCACCTGTATGTACCTAAATATAAACCCAAATTCTCCTCCGAAGGAAAGATACTCCTTCATTAGAAAAAAATGAAAATCGCCATTTTTAAAAAGTAGTAACAAAGAGAACTATCGAAAAAAGGTTCAAATTCAAAGTTGCAAAATCCGTTGGGATAAATTCAATGGGCGTAGAAACAAATTTTTCCAAAATGGCAGTACTCGAGACATTGACATAAACTTCCTTATTTTAAATGGACGCCATATGGCATTATTACTTCACTTGATAGAGAAAAAAATTACAAAACCAGTGATACTAAACATTTTGGGAATCAACCTTGCATTTTTTTCTTGAAGTTTACAATGTATTTCTTGTGGCAATCATTCAATGGTCGTGTCGGTGGTGACTATGCGAGACAATAAACGAACGAATTTAGTGTCAATCACAACCAGCCATGGACCTGTAACATTAAGCCAGATCTATCAGAGAGTATTCAGAATTTATAACAGTGAATATGTGACTGCGGAAGAGTATTTAAAACGATTACAAATTATCGATCAGATGCTTTTTTGGTCAGATGCAAAAGTACCTACACTTGGTAGGAACTGAAAGGTGTTTGTTAACACTAAAACACAAATCGAGAAAAATGCGAATTGCAAATACAAAAACTAAAGTGAAGATAAAAGTGGTGGAGATAATGTAGCTGTCGAAAAGTAAGAACAAATTGTATCAACGAATCATCAAATGTTTTCGATTTGCCGAAGAAGAGCATACCCCGAGACATTGCACAAATGTTCTGAAATACAGATTATTACACACAAAGAGGAAACTCAATATAGTCGCATATTAATCATAATGGTCGACAAATAAACACTAACAGCCATGATAGAGAGTAGAGATTAGACTTTCAAAGCCACAGCGGCATGGCGGGGTAGTTTGGTGGTAAAGCAAGCATGTAGCCCGTTAAGAGGGTACGGCAATGCGGAGATCAGACGATAGCGCGGAATTGAAAATAGTGCCTAATGACCTACACCATTGAATAGGTAACCTACACTCAATGGATGTGATAATTGGAAGAACATTTGCAGAATTAAACCACGTTGTATAAGTATAAGTTAGGCGGTATCAGTTCAACTCATAAACACATAAAATGTTACAAAGTAGTAATGGGTTAACTGAACTGAACCTCAAACAGATCATAGTTATTTTGCTAATATAGATGGTATGCGTTTGATCGTTTTCTCAACAAAATTGGAAAAAGTTGAATTTTTATGCACTTTATTTTAATATATTATTTTTATATATTTATTATTTTATTCAGCACTAGAGCTTGAACTGTCGAGATGGGCAACAGCGAATTTGTTTATGGGAAAGCACTCGGAAAGGCAAATGTAGATAATTAAGTTGGATATGGTGGCTGAAATTAATGTTCGGAGATGTACGAAGTAGCGCTATGCCATTGAATAAAACTTTATTCCGTGGCTAGAAACTTACGTTGCAAGAAACTATGAAACCCACGTCTCCTTATACTTGTTCACATAATATTTTTACAGGGAAAGCGTATTTTTGTTTTTTTGTAGTGAAACTTTTAATTTTTTCTGGTTCTCTAACTAAAAAACCGGAAACAGAGATTACATGTTTTAATTTTCCTTTGAATTATAACACCATATTTACCAGTACAGTGCAGTGCATTAATTTAAGTGATATCTATTTGGGAAAAATTTCTGCACAATAAAGTCAAAATTGTACCTATAGAGTAGGTATAGACGAAGAGCCAGTGACCAATTTTAGGTTGTTAATTCAAAAGTCAAGTTCAAAATTCACACCCCTAGCAACACAATTCCGTATAAAACGCGTTTACTAGATAGCTAGAAGGCTGCAAAATCGCCGAAAAAATAAGACAGTTACCAAATCACATAAGTATAAAAACTGGAGTGGCTCTTCAGCTGGTATGGAGGCTGATATAATTGCCGAGCGATTTTCGAAAAGTGTACGGCATAATTTATGAAAAATTAATTGCTGATGGTGACAGCAACTGTTATAAACGAATTCCAGACACGCATCCGTATGTAAACGTTGTAGTTCAAAAAGTTTAATGTAAAAACCATCTTATGAGAAAGTATTCCAAAAAATGTTTAGTGGTTTCGGGGTGGGCATCTGATTCCGCCAACAAATTCACCCCCGAACCCCCAGGGAGTGGATTATGAGAGTAACTTTCAAATCTTTACAAATAATTTTACCATTTTAGGGTGTGTATCATGATTTTAGGTATTCGATATTCAAACTGACGGCCCTCGAATAGTATTTTGTCGAAGTTTTACACATCAGTCAAAAAAATAGGAGTTAACTCCTTGGAGTTTGGAAATAAATATTGTCAAAATAACTGAATGCTCCCCTTCAAACCACTAAGACTAAACCTTTCGTTTGGAAATATTTTCGATCGAACTTTTACAGAAAAAGTTAACGACTTAAAAACATACAGTCGATTGGGATATCTTTGCAATAAACCAAATGTTCAAAGTGGAACAATAATATCGGATTGAAAATGAAGAGGTAATGTAGAAATCTACATGAAAATCTACGTCATTTGATACCACATTTCCCTATACCTAACATCAAAAGTTTTCAAGCTAGTTTTCAAGTTACTCAAGATTTTTCAAAATTTTTGACGTTTGACTAGTTTCTCTTTAGCGCCCTGTACATATGGCTCCGTTGACTTCAATTTCAATAAGTCTTCCAAAATCAACAATACCGGCGCGATGCTACATGCGAATCATTAAAATTTTGAACACCCTTCTACAGGATGTTTTAAAATTAATGGTTAAGTTTAATAACTTCGAACCTGAAAAAGTTGATGACTTTCAAATGTGGAAAAAAATTCTACATCGATCAATTATTACATGCGCTATATACATATCTGTTATGTTTTCGTTTTATTTAAGATTTTCTAAAAGTATGCCCGTTATATGCATAATTTTCTTAGGATCCCTTGAAATAAACGCATTAGCAGATCCCAGAAATATGCCAATAAGAGATTCCGACAGAATTTTAAACGTCATCGAAAATAAGAAACGACCTCAACAAACCTCATAAGTTTCTATACAGTATTATAAGTACTACGTTTAGATTCTAAATGACATGTTTTCTCAAATTTTAGTTTTAATTGCGGGCAGTGCCAGTGGGTGACCTATTTTAGATTTTATTTTTTTATTTGTTGCAGTGTGTAACAGCATATGAGGAACATGAACTATTGCGCTTCATTTACGAACATGATTTGAAGGGCAGGAGACTTTATCTAAAATTACCCCTACTATTAGTGCTATAGCCAATCACTTGTGAGGCTGCTTTATTACTCGTTTATAATGACAGCTGAAGTGTTCCCAATTTGCACATAAATGAAGCCATTTTGGCGTCTTTTAGAATCTTGGTACGGTATACCACAAGCTAGCATCTATTCGTTAATTTATATGAAGGATAATTCTATGTTTCTGTAAGTATAACAGTTTTTCGAATACTTATTTCCATAATGCAAATAAATTATATTGTAACGGAAACGCTCCAGACATGACGTCGCCTTTGGCGCTCTGGAATTTTCTACGCGCGCGATAGTGGAATTTGTGTAGGAAGATTCGAGAATGTACGCGGATGTTCTGGACTTACATTGCTTGCGTGTATAAATGGTTGCGGACCGAACATCGCGGCAGTCTACTACCAAACGAGATCGAGCGCGGAAATATAAATTGCGAAGTGTGTGTGATATAAATAATCGATATAAATTGTACGGATTTTATAGTGTTTTAGTTCTGTTTAATAAATATTGATATAAATCGAACCCGAATTTATAAATCACGTTACAATATGTATGAAGAGTTGACAATTTTTTGCTATACTTCGAGCGTAGTATGACTCATGCGTTTGGGCTTAAAATAAGAACACATCTGTGATGGATTTGTTTACTACAAAATAGTAAAAAGTACCTATCTTGTAAAATAAGAAATTAGAAACCGAATTGGAAAAAGTTAACCAAAAAGCGCATTTCAAGATTCAATTTTACATTTAGATAACAACTTTTTTTCAATTTTAGCAAGCGAGATCATCCCAGGAAAGGTGTCAAAAATAAACACCTTCTAAACGAAGATCTGCTTAGGTCGGTAATCAAACACAATCGTAGGATTTCAACCTACAAAACCACTTACAAATTTGTGTTCGTTTATCAATCATTTTCAATAATTGATTTGAACGCAAATTATATATTTTATAAAAACAGTTAATATACCAATTTATGCTTAAAATTCACAGTTTAATTGTTGTTAATTTAATTTGCGTTATACCGTTTTCGTTATACCTACCAATTCAAAATGATAATAAGTATATAAAAAACACTTACCCAGTTCCGTAAGGAATGTTCTTGGGGCCATATCTGGAAGAAATTGAACATTAGAAGAAAATAATGGTGGCAAAGGCAAGCAGAGGAAAATCATAGATTTTTTGAACTGAATAAATCAATGTTCGAGGCGAGAGAAAACTTGATACGTTGTGTGAGATCAGTGTCAAATATTCATATCGAAAATGCAATCCGTTATTGTGAGGAAAAGGGTCCAATTGGGCGTTAATAACAATTACAGGCACATGAGAAACTAAGTTAAATTAAGGAATAAACACATACCCTTTTAGAACAGTGGAAAAGTTAAAAAAAGTCACTCGATTTCACAAAACACCCGACACTACTTCGCACTAAATCGAACTGATTTACCAATAAATACCCTTCTCTTGTGAACTACGGCCTAAACACGTGTGGAGCGATCGTACACCTGCGACGCTCTTATCTCTACCGCCAGACCTTTAAATTAATGAAACAAATATTATTTAGAAAACCACTGCCTTTATATTAATCGTGTCATTGAATAAAAGACACTGCTAATTCATTTTGATTAAATTATTATTAAATTATTTTGTCATAAATGCTATTGATGATTTTTGTTGAAACTAAATTGTAGATTGTAGAACAGATTTAAAATGGCACTAATTGTGGTTAAATAGTTCTTAGGGTCGGCACTTGATATAAATCCCGATTTCCAACTCTAAAACATTTGACCCAACCATCAATGGTACACAAAAAGCTTGCATTTGCTTCAAATTGACGGGTATTAGAGATACAGTTCTGCAGCAAAAAGAAAAATTTACCCTTTGAATCACTTTAATGCCATGTTAAGCAGAAAATACATTCCAAAAAAAGTCTGAAAATCACCAGAACTGTAGACGTACGTAGGTAATAACAAATTGTTCTGTTTAATTTTTAACACAGACACTTCTTAATCTGTGCTTTTATGTACCAAGGGCGGAAAAGTGCCTATAATTACGAATCTAGAATATGATAGCCCCGGCGACATTCACCTCTGGCAAATTAATGTAATATGGTATAAAGAATTGTCATAGTTACAGCGTGTTCGATATTAAATGATTCATTACTATGTTGACATTTGTAAATGTTAGCTCCGCAAATAAGTAAATATTTCACATTATGTATACAGGTCGGCAAAAAATAATTTTCGTAGTAGAAAATCAGTACCTAATAGGTAGGTACTACAAGTCTATACAACGAGGGGACCTTTTTATGTAACCTAACTAGCCATGAAAACAATGACGAAACGAATGATTTTCGTAGATGGAGGGAAGGCATCATATTACCAAGTAAAATCCTGCCCGAAACAATTTTATTGGGGCCGATAAGCTGTACAAGATAGCTCTCTAAATCTGGTAGGTCTCTTGAAGCAGGAACAATAAAGGCAGTTGAAAAGATGGTATCGATGCATCAAAGAAAGTATCAAACGCAACAAATGGGCTCTAATGTATACTTAGGTGCATACTGTATTGAATAGCATTTTTTATTACAAATACAACGATATATGGCACACACACACACACACAAAACAAACTCTGACAACTGTTGGTTTCAACAGAATGGTGCACCCGCGCACTACGCCCTAATCGTGGTAGAATACCTATCGGCAAAGTTTTCAATTTTCCAGGAAATTTGTGCGATACACACGATTAGGGCACTAATCTATAGTAGGTACTTATTATAAAAAAAGGTAACGGTTTCTTATCGCAATTTTACAATTGCGTTAGTTACCAAATTTAAATACCAAACAAAAAATTAATTAGGTAAAACAAGTGTGAAGAAATGTTATTATTTACTATGCGACCTGAAACTTGAAAAAGTGGCGCTCCTCCTAACCCCTAAACTACTTCCTACATTGAAAATGCAAGGATATCATTTGTAGCAAATTTTTTTATTATGTAGAAGTATCTAACAGTTTTTTAAGAAACAAACAATAATCTGAACCCCCTTTAGCTCAAGAAAACGATCATATTGTTAGAAAACGACTATTTGATTAAACCTTATAACGTAAAGAAATCATTATTTCTTATTAAACACATTGCTTGGTAACGCTGGCAACATCGCAATCAACACTGTTTTCGTCAAATCAACAAAAGTAGTCGCAAGATCTTGAACATTTCTCCAAGAATCTCGTTTAGATTCTTTCCTTAAATCGTCTTGAACCATCGCAAAATTTGCTTTCAATCTGGCATTTTGTTCCACTAACACTTTTTCCTTTGCTTCCTCTTCTATAATTTCACTAAAAAGAAATGTAGCTAGTACAAGAAAGCAGTTTTGGTACTTACGCCATTAATTTCGCTGTCTCGAGTTCATAATTGTTGGCGGAAACCGAGTTCTCCTTAAGTTTGTGCTCCGTGGATGAAAGCTGTTTCTCTAAATTTTGAACTTCATCGCGAAGTTTAACTATTTCGTTTTTCATATCGGACGCCTATTATCAACAATTACTTAATTTTGTAAAAATTACAAAAATAATCAATTACCTGCGTGGTTAACAGTTTAGTTTCATCAAGCAAAGTCTTACTTTTCTTCTGTTCGATCCCTAAGTGACATTTTGTGTCAAAAATATCATTAAGACTAGTCATTAGACTGTTCTTAACATTTTGAGTTTGCAAGTTCGTTTGCATGATACCTTCCTGGGTGCTCTTTAACTGTGTCTTTAGAGCAGCAGTATCCTATGAAAAAGTATAAGTTAATTTTTCCATGGCGGTAACTGTACACAACGAACCTCCTTTAAATTATCATTTTCTTTTTCGCGCTTGTCAATCTCGATCTCAAGATGATTCACGTCGGCAAGCGCTTGATTTCGTTTTTCATTTTCCGACGAACGCAATTGATGAAGCGCATCTATTTGTAATACCAATTGGGAATTCTACAATGCATTGCAATTTATTAGATGTCAGCGAGGAGTTTTTGCGAACCTGCGCCTCAAGACCCTGTAACGTTTCAAGAACCTCGCTGGTTTTAGACTTTTGTCTGCGCCAGGCATTCAATAGTAGCAGTTGGTAAATCCGATGACCGGCATCTTTGGTCGGTGACATTTTCTTTGCGAACTTGGAGGGTGGGGATGACTGAATTTCAGGGAGCCGTTTTTTGCTATTAATGATCTGTATTATAGTCATGGAATTCTTTACAACATACTTACGTATTTGATGGTTTGGAAAGGTTAATTTCTGACAGTGTCAAAGATCTTCTTCTGGTAACTTTTGGATTGGTCGCGAGCTGTGTAATTTTGTTTATTTGTAGAAGTTGGCCGGTAATCTTTTTTTGCGCACTTTTTGCAGATGTGGGCTTCGGAGCCAGCATGGGAGATCTGGGAGGGGTTGAGAAAGGTGTTTCAATTTTAATTGAAATGTCCACACCATCGCCAGAGCCCGATAATTTATTGCTTGCAAGAATTCGTGACATTTTGGATTAGTACTGCGAAAATTGTTTGTCCAGCCGTCTAGATTCTATAGGGACCTCCGTAACTTTCTACAATGTTAAAATAAGAAGACTTGATATAATGGTAGATTAAAGTAGTCTGCTTTGTTTGCTAACCTGTAAAAGTTGTATCCAATCACAAGCGTGATTGTAACCAATATACTACATTTATCCCTGATGGAAAACCGTTCGGTACCATAGTGCAGGAAACCGCAGGACAGAGCCCCGCTTCAGTGTTGTTTGGCCTGGGACTAAATATTACCGTGTAATTTGAAATTTGGAACAAGACTCGGTCAAGAAGAACCGTTTGGAACGAGTACGCGGAAAATCTGCGTGAGAAATTGAGTGTCATCCATTTCTTTACATAATTAAAACAATTGAAAATATTAGTATTTAAACAATATGGTCGAAATAATAATAGCAATTCAATTAACTTAATCCCGATTCCATTACTTTTAAACCTCATCCTGGATGAAAAATAATCCTAAAAGTTAATGAGAAAACACGGTCTCAGTTACCTTTGATTTAAATTTTGAACATTGTCGGAGTGATTTCAAAAAACACATTGCCGAATCACGGCTAACGGCGATATTCAATTTTTATATTTGATTTTGTGACAATGGAAACTTTCCCCTCAACATTTCTAAATTGTTCTCAAATATTTGAATAACTTAAAAGTACTGCCTTTTTTTGAGACCGGAAAAAAAATTGTCTGAGATCGAGATCGATCGAGAGTCCATAATTTCAAACAGTTTGAAGATTGGGCTACTAGATCAAAAGTTACAGCCCTTTGAATTTTTTTTCGAAATTTGTTTTTTGTCCATAACTTTTTATTGAGAGGTCTAATCGAAAACGTACGAATTGTTTTGGATTCTACGCACCAAAATTAATAAGAAAAAGTGTTTTCCCGAGAAATTTTGGTGCAGTCGATTTTTGGTAAAAAAGGAAGGTTATAACACTGCCTTTTTTTGAGGCCCGAAAAAAAAATTGTCTCAGATCGACCCGGAAAAAAAATTTTCTTATAGAATGTGGCCTGTAGAATCCATAATTTCAAACAGTTCCAAGATTGGGCTACTAGTTCAAAAGTTACAGCCCTTTGAATTTTTTTTCGAAATTGGTTTCTAGTCTATAACTTTTGATTGAGAAGTCTGATCGAAAAAGTACGAATTGTTTTGGATTCTACGCACCAAAATTAATAAGAAAAAGTGTTTTCCCGAGAAATTTTGGTGTAGTCGATTTTTGGTAAAAAAGGAAGGTTATACACTGCCTTTTTTTGAGGCCCGAAAAAAAAATTGTCTCAGATCGACCCGGAAAAAAAATTTTCTTATAGAATGTGGCCTGTAGAATCCATAATTTCAAACAGTTCTAAGATTGGGCTACTAGTTCAAAAGTTACAGCCCTTTGAATTTTTTTTCGAAATTGGTTTCTAGTCTATAACTTTTGATTGAGAAATCTGATCGAAAAAGTACGAATTGTTTTGGATTCTACGCACCAAAATTAATAAGAAAAAGTGTTTTCCCGAGAAATTTTGGAGTAGTCGATTTTTGGTAAAAAAAAGGAAGGTTAAGTATTCAAATACTATGCGAAGTATTCGAATACTTCTCAAAGTATTCAAATACCTTGCGAAGTATTTGAATACTTTATGAAGTATCCAAATACTTTGCGAAGTATTCAAATACTAAATATTTGTGTAAGTATTTGAGTTACAAAAACAAATACTGCTTCCATAAAAGTATTTAATTACAAAGTATTTAAATACTTTAAAGGATTTGAATACTAAAAAGTTTACAAAATCGAATACTGCCCAGCTCTGCCCCTATTGAGCGCTCACGAATGTGAATCTTTGTACTGATACACAGAAACGCTTTAAACAGTGGAAATAAAGGCATTTTTAAGGCTCTCGTTCTATTTTGACAATTTTACAAAATATTTATTAGAACATCTGTTTTTTATAAACAATATGCCAACTAAATTACTAGATAAATAGGTACAGTGGCACCACGCTCAGAAAGTCCCTGACAGAGCGTGTGTCCGAGGGCGCTAGAAATTTAAACCGTACATTCTGATGCAAAATTTAAAGACACTTTAAGGGAATTACATACCTTATCAGATCGTAGATCCAAGCTATATGCGCCTTGAAAAAGAAGAGTGTGTATAAAACTGTAGACGGAAAACGTAAAATAAAGCAAATACAAGAAGCAAAGTGTAAACTAAAATAACGTGAAGCGTCAACTGTCAAAATGGAATAATTAATAATTATGGCGCGGAATGTATCGCGTCGTTTTGCAGACTTTCTATTGGCCAGCCTGAATTATTTCAAAATTAGTTCGCATATTTTCCTTTTCTGAGCATGGTGGCATCATGACACGATATGAATGATATAACAGCAACTCTATTGCTGTTTCATTCATCCTCACAGATCCACGGCCAACACGGTGGCCCTTTGAAATCGGGGGCCTGGGGCAAATCGCCCCAGTTGCCCCCCCCCCTCTGGGCGGCCCTGTCCCCACATAAGGCAGCGATGCTCCTTCAAGCAAAATAGTTATATTTGTACAACTATTAGAGAAGAAAGTGGAGTTTTTCAACAAGAGTTCAATTACACATAATTTTTTCTGAAACTGCAATCAAAATTGAAAAATTATCGTATGCAATAATGAAGCTTGAGACATAGCAATCTAGATACGGGTATGTTTCAATTTTAAAGATCATGATATATTAGCAATTGTTTTTTACTTTCCTCACTAGAGATCACATTCTCTTAACCCTTTTTAAAGACGACAGTAGGTAGGTAGTTGTTTCTAAAGTAGTTTCAGAAAATAGTATATTAAAGTACAAGTGTCATTTGACGAAGTGCGACAAGTACACAAATGACACGTGTGCTTTATACTATTTTTTCTATTTCGACTTTTATTTTAAATAATAAATTATACAAATTATAAATATTGCCTTTAGGCGTTGTTAGGCAATTTTAAACTATCATTCAGTGTATGTTGGTAATAGACACAATTCATTCATTTTCACGTTGGCTAACCTGATTCCTGTATTTTCAAACTTCAAACTTTTAATTATTTGGTCATAATTCCATTTTGCGGCAGTTATGATGAATACGGATGACAAATACGTCTCTTGTACCCCACCAGAGACCCAAGAGATTGCCAATGAAGCGACGTTAAATTTACTGCCTGTAAAATCGAAAGTAAAGTACGAGGAGTACAAAATTTTTGAAAACTGGCTGGCCGAGAAGGGAGTTCAAAAAGTAAGCAAGAATGTACTGCTGGCATATTTTACTACGCTAAGTAAAAATAAAAAAAGTTCTGCCCTTTGGAGTATATATTCAAAATTAATCGGAATTAATACAATCGGTCAAGTTCCTCGTACGTTATTTACATTTTACAGGTTATGTTTAGTTTTGATTTGACGGATACCGTTGACAGCAAAAAAGCGAGGGGTACCAATCCAACAAAATAAAAAAAATAATGCGTTTCTATTTCTTTCAGCATCATTTCTGTCTAGAAACGCACGCAAACTGGGCCAATCCAGTACGGTTTCGGTATTATTTCCACATCGAAATAGAAAAACATTTTTTCACTACTGTCCTGAGCACAGGCTTTCCAGAGCTCGTTGAGGGCTGGTGGACCGAATCATCTACCTTGCTACTTCCACGGTGGAAACAAAATTTACAAACGTAAATTGTAGAAAATTTAATTCTCTATAACATTGAGTAGAATGTAGAACTCTTCTGCAGCTAAAATGCACTCACATGCACGAATATATTTAAGCGAAAATCCGAAGAAAGTGCCTATTTTTTTCTGTTTTTTCGATATAGCGGCGGGCGCGGAGGAGGTGGAATTGTTACATTTAGTAACACTTACTAACCATCCTGGACAACATATTCAAAATGTAGAACTACCGGGCCGTTTGTAAGGTAAGCCTCCTCTATTCGCTGTATCCTGGCCGGGACCAGCTATATCTAGTCGTACAACCCCAAAGTAACTTACTGGATTCTTTGTGATGAGCAATTTAAAACAGAAGTGAAAATAACCGCAATTCTCTAAAATAGAATTTCTATTCCTGATGCTAAAAGGATGTCTGATGAAAAACGCTAAGGAAAAACTGTTTTTTGAGAGCGGTTGGGAGCTCGAAAGAAGTAGGTAGTGAGAATCAAAGTTGTAGAGAATTTAATGAACTTTCCTTTATTATAAGAAGATTTTCCCCTACGACGACCCCTTTTCATTACATACAAGCAGGAAAGTAAAAAATGTATCTTTCCTTCCACCCTCCCTTCCCCGAGTCGGCAGCTAGGTGTTAGGACTTTTAGTATGTTCACTAGGTACTTCACATCTCATTTCGGAAAATCCCGTGTGCATACCTATATGGGTAAACCTTACACAAAATGTTAAACTTTACGACGACTTTTCTGTCTAAGGGTTAACTTTTTCAGGTCCCACAAGCCAGCAGAGCCATTTTAGAAAAATGAAGGACGAAATACATCAGAATTATAGGCTGATTATAGACCCTTTTTGGACACTTGAACAAATTTGCAGGCGGCATCCTCTAAAGAGGAAAACTATGATTTTGCTGGCTAAAGAAGAAACTAGCTGACCACATTTGCGGTTTGCTTCGAAGACGAAAAATTCAGATCACAAAATTATAGGCTATTTATAGGCTTTTTTTAGACACTACAACAAATTTTCAGGCAGCATCCTTTAAACAAAAAAACTATGATTTTGCTGGCTAAAGAAGAAGCTAGCTAATCACATGTGCGATACTCTATGCGCATGTGCAAAATTTTTGCCTTGTAATTAATATCGATCCATTAATAGTGACTGTATAAAAACAGTGTGGTCATATGCTCTATATCCGCCATGTTTTTCCCATATTCCTCATTAAGCTGATCGGTTTAATTGAATTGGTAGATCTTGGCATTTTTCTATGGTTACAATATTATTGCCACAACTGTAGGTAGGTATACAGTCACTGTAGATCCATTATAAGTCACTAAATATAGAAAGTACCGCAATCCATTGGGCCCGTGTGTTAGAGAGAGAACGCATGTTTTTTGCCCAAAAATTGCGGAAGTTACCAGATTCTAGTAACTTTAATGTTAGGGATTGTTCCACCTGTTTGGAGACATATCTGTCAAGTAGCTATTTGAAATTTGAATTTTCTTTTACTAATAAATCAAATATATAGCAAGTTGTGTTTCAGCTTTTAAAAAAAGTAATGTTAAAAGTGTCTGAGTTGTCTATGCATCTTCTCTTGTATTATAGGAGAAGAAAAGTTTAAACGATATTCCTGAATTGGAAAGAAGTACAAAAAAAATTAAAATTATTCGTCTCATTATATTATTAACGAACCTCGAGATCGTTTATAATTTTGTATTGCTGCCTGCCTGTGCGTCTGTCTGTTCGTCTGTCTGCCAGTGTGTACGATAACTTTGTGTAGAAACGTCCGATCGCTTTAAAAATTGATATACACATGTTCTTCAGGATATAACAAAGTTCACAATTGGTTTTCGGCTACGTAGACCAATTCGCCAAATAGTTACAGACCAAAAACTGCGCAAACCTCCAAAAAGGGTTTCTAACTCTTGTTACAAAGAACATATGAATGTCCGGTTTTCTGTGTTAGTAAATATTCCTTAAACTTCAGGCAACTATGCAAATGCAAACAAATACTGCGTATGCGCATAACAACTATTTGTATTTGCGCAATCCTAATTTTTTATTTGTTAATATATTTAAATGAAATTCTGTATCTAGGCACCTCCAATAAAAGTGAAACTAATGCCAAATCAAAAATTTTGTTTTGCGCATGCGCAGTCGGATTTCTTTTATTTGTTAAGGTATTTAAATGAAATGTTGTATGCAGGCACCTCAAATAAAAGTAAAACTAATGCCATTTCAAAAAATTTGTGTTACAAGCTATGCTGATCAGGTGGGACAGAATCAACCCCTTAGGGCAGTGGTGCGCAAACGGTCGATCGCGACCGACCGGCCGATCTCGAGTACTTTTTGAGTGGATCTCGAGAAACATTTGCGATTTTCAGAAAACTAAATTCTGCCGTTTCCACTAATTAACTAATTCTATGTACAGTATTTTCATGAAATTCTGCAAATTGCGCCACGATACGCCCTACCTATGTAGACAACAATCCTGCTTCACACATACTTGCATTCTCTCAGAGTCTAACAACATTCAGGTACATCGTCAGCAGTTCAAGTGTGAGCACCCCTGCCTTAGGGTGTATTGTAAAAATGATGTATGTGGGAAGATCTCGAGGATTGTTTGGTATTCAGTTGTATTGGGCGAAAGCTCGTTGAGGGCCCAGAACAAGAGAGGGACAATAAATAGACAATAAATAAATAATTTTTATTTACCCACTACATCTCCGAGAGGGGCAAAATCAAACTGATGTGGATGATAGTTTTTTTTGTTTAAAGGATGCCGCCTGAAAATTTGTCTAAAAAAAGCCTGTAAATAGCCTATAATTTTGTGATCTGAATTTTTCGCCTTCAAAGCAAATCTCACCAGTGGTCAGCTAGATTCGTCTTTAGCCAGCAGACCCATAGTTTTTTTCTTTAAAGGATGCCGCCTGATAATTTGTTCAAGTGTCCAAAAAGGGCCTATAATCAGCCTATAATTCTGAAGAATTTCGTCCTTCATTTTTCTAAAATGGCTCTGCTGACTTGTGGGACCTAACATTTTCTCCTCTTTGTTTTTACTTTTTGGCAGCCATCTTAGCCACCAGCTACAAGTTTCAAATTGTGCATTTTGTGAATTTTAGTTTTACGCTCCCCTTACAAACCTGCACTATTTCGAAACTTCCAGAGTTATTTACAGGTAAAAATCTCCAATTACTGACGTACCTATATCTTCCTTGAAGCACAGATTCCAGAAGGAATAAAGTCTGTGCTTTTGGGTCTGATACTAACAAAATACCCCTATGCTGATGCAACATTAATAGTAGGCGTGTAAGGAACGTTGCATAACATTGCGAGCAGGGACATTTTTTTTGCTCTAAATTGTGAAAAATTGGATAATAAAGATAGATGTTATTATTTATATAAGTGCGTAGTATTGGGCAATATTTTCAAAATGGAATTTTTTTCAAGGTAAATTAAGGTACCCTCTAGTAATTCGATTTATTCCACCGTTTGCATGTCACTGCTTTATGTTTGCCTGTTTGTAAATTAGGCTGTGTTTTTATGGGAGTAGAAGTGAATATCTCATCATTTAAATTTAAGGGTCGATGGTGTTTCGCAAATCGTGACTGTAAATTTCGTACTTCCCGCGCCTGCAAAATGCTTGAAAGGTACGCGCGCGCTTTCGTTTCACGATTGCTCAACTGCGTTGTGCTGCCATCTTAATAAAGCGGCTTTGTGTCGATACCGTTGAGTTTATCCCAAAATTTGGGGATTCTTATACAATCTCGTATTAATTTGGTTACCTTAAGATAAACAATCGTGCATTACACCTTTTAGATGTGATTAAATGTGAATTATATCCGTTTTGAAAGCGAAGCAAGTCCCGAGGAAGCAATGCGTAAACTGCATGGTGTAATTTGCAATGACGCACATTAAATGAACGCTATTGTAATTTTAGGTCATGTTAGAGCATTTTTTTAGAAAAGAACTTGTGCTGTAAAGTTTATTGTGTACGGTGTAAACATGGAGTCGACCGATACAATCGTTAAAAGTCCCGGAAGGTTAAGAACCAAGTCTACCAGGCGATCCACAAGCCCAAACGAAAGCAATGTGAATCTTAACGGAGAGGATGATACGGCCGAGCTTAAGAAGGCGTTGGAAGATAAAGAAGATGACATCTTCGATTCTTCAACAGAAGAGAGCCTTTCGGGGGAGCAGAAAAGCGAAGAATTAGATGAAAAAGCTAGACGTGAATCCAAACCTGCGAAAGGAAGGAAGAGGAAAGCTAGCGAAATGAAATCATCAGACGAAAATATGTCAGACGAGCCTCCTACTAAAGATAAACCTGCACCAAGAGAAGACGAAGACAAAATGGAAACGGCCCCCGAAGAAGAGGGGTCGAAATCTGATGACAAAAATGTGTCCGATACTACCTCAGATATGGGTATGTCTCTCGATATGAAATCGGATACTCATACGCTGGGAAAGGGCAAACGGGCTCGAGTCCCTAATAAACGCTACAGCGATTTCCCATTAAAGTCAACGCGTCTGTCACAATCAGAGCTAATTGACGAATTAGAGAAGAGACCGAATTTAGAAAATGGCGAAGCGAAAGACAGTACGGATCACGACGTCAACCTCAACGTCGACTTAAAAGACGATTTATCAGAGAAGTCGAGCGTCGGTAGCCCCAGCATCGCTTTAAAAACGAATTCCAGTTTACGCGCTAATCGCACCGGAAGCCCTTCGACGCCCACAATGAAAAAATCCAAGCCAACCGTCGATTTATCCAACCCGTGCTACTTAAAACCCTTTAAATACGGCTGGAAGCGCGAGTTAGTATACCGTGCCACAAGCGATTTTAACACGAACAAACGAAACGGCGACATCTATTACTACACGCCGAACGGCAGAAAAGTGAGATCGATGCGCGAAGTCTCGGAAAATTTAAAGAACAAGGAGCTGACTCTCGACGATTTCACCTTTTTCAAGGAACCTCTCGGTATCGACGATCCTGAAAAGGAGATTATTCGGGACGCCAAGATGAAGTCCGCATCGTCCACACCACTGATGGTGAAGAAGAGTACGCCAAAAGTGACGAGGACGCCGAAGGTGATGAGTCCGAAGCCGGCCGCCGTCGCCGAATCGCCAGTCGATTCGTCTACCAAGGCAAAATCTCCTCGAAGGGCATCGTTTAAGGTAAGCATCGTGTGTTGCAATTTGTTGTAGTGTGATTAATTCCTGGGAGCAAGTAAAGAAGGTAAGAGATATAGGAATGCTCTCTACTGTATTTTACATAATATTTGAGTGTAAGTTAATGTTCTGCGGTCATCAGTAATTTCCTCTACTGCTTTCGTATTTTAAAATTATTCGAGAATTGTACAGGGTGGTTTAAAATGTGTGTTACAAAAGAATATTGTTGGATGAAGCAACGCAGTGTACGTTTTTCAGAATTTTTTATTGCTTTGACACATTTTTATCTCCATCTTTTCATCTGAAGGGTTGAGTTTTCTCTCATGCCTGATCTAGATTATTATTTAGTGTTGAAATTGTCAAGATTTCAGTTATCTACTTGCTTGGAATAGGATCGAAGGAGCTTTCAATTGATTTGTCGCACAATGAAGTTTCACTGTCTTTTGCTTCACATTTTTAATGTAGATACCGAGATAGGTAGTGCTAAATATTTGTGGATCAGTTTTATTGAGAAAACAAAACTCAATTGTTTTGTGTTTCCACCTTTGTGTCTGTCTGTTCTTACTTTGGTTTTTGCACATTAATGTACTTGCTCAGATTAATGGTCTTGGTCTTGCAAAACTTGCTAGACCCAGTCTCTTGTCTTGTCTTGGTTTTGCGGAAGTTATTTATTGATGTTTTAAGGTTATTTATTAAAAATACTTGCTCCAAGAAATGTGAAATGTGATTTATTCTTTCAAATAAAATAGTTGTGTATATTAATTGTACTAATCTCTGGATATAGTTCTATTTTTAGCACATTACCACAGAAATAAAAAATTATTGTGGCCACTTTGCCCGTCTGTCTTTCTCTACTGTGTCACTCATATATTTATTTTAAGAGCTATTGTCTTACTTTTTCCTAGGAATCGACCCATACGATGTATTGCTAAGCCTGATTTTTTATTTTATTTTATTTTTGGTCTTTATTTGTAAGTGGGCGGGGGTTTCAAGCAAGACTGCTGTACCAACCCAACTCACTATACATTTACAAATATCCATGCCCGAACCCAGATTCGAACCAGGGACCTTAGTACCGCAATCGCGCTTCCACGCAACTGCGCCACACAGGCCGTCTAAAATTTAATGAAAAAAAAAACATGAATGCTCTCTAGGTGTAGCCATATTGTAATATTTTTTGAAAATTTTAAGTCGCGAGAAATTGTGAAACGTCGTTAATGTTTTCCATGTTTATTATTTGATATTTTGCGACTGAGGATCTGGGAGTAGTGGGCCCCTTTGGCGGTCATACATTTTTAATTAACACACAGTCTTTCTTGTACTCTTCCTCACAGCGCTTTATGTCTTCTTCTACAATTTTTTTGTCCAGCATCCTCAGTTTGTTTATTTTCGGTTTTTCATAGCAATGTTTTATTTGCGCATTTAAAGTATTAATGCTCTAAAGAATACCAGACAATGCTGATTACTCCAGAAGATATGCCAGAGAAACAACCTAAATTTACCGATTTGGCTTTTATTTTTTTGTCATGGTATTTGAACAAATAAAAAACACTTTCTCAGTGCCACTTTTTGAGCTCTACAAGACGCCGCACAGTGGGGTATTTGAATTATAGCTGGCCAAAATTCAAAATATTGACCGATTTGTATAAAAGTCGCAGAATATTTTTATCTTACAATGAAAATAACAAAAAAAATTTTTTACTCCAAGATGGCGGCCGGAAATGACAAAATTTTATATCTTGCTTGTATATGTACCAAATTTGGCTCGTGCTTAGGTGTGCATATGACAAGTATCGACAAAAAAATAAGATATAGGATAATAGGAAATTCTTGGTAAAAATTTTGTAGGCTACGACCAGTGGTTCTCAACTAGTGGGCCGCAACGGGATCGCAGAACCTGTCTGAGGGGTCACCAAATACAGGGAAAAATTAAAAATAATTATTCTTTTTATAAAACAACTGACTGTAAAAAAGTTTATTAATAAGTTAAACTTTACGATTTAAAAAATTACAATAGTAAACGTTTTTATTATATATAAGTATTTAAAAAAAATTATAATTCATAGGAAAGTCGGCAAAATACTCAACCTAAAAAGTCGTAAAGGTTGAGAACCACTGGGATACTTTACTAAAATACCTGCACTGTCTTAGACTACCATGATAATAAGTATTCAGATGAGGAACCGCTGCAGCTGCCAGCTGCTACTGTGTTCCTCTACTTTAAGATCAAAAATACAATGTTAAGGCTTTTATTGCTTTTTTGTTGATAACGCAACACTAGAAAGTCCTAAAGTTCGAAACTAATTTCACCTTTAGATATTTTATGCGAAAATATAACATTTTTACTGTGTAAAATGTTCATTCAGATGTGCAAATCGGGGCTTAAGTATACCACATGCATTTATAAGTATGACAATGTGAATAATCCGCACCATTATCACATGATAGTTTGGGCGCCGATTTATAAAAAAGGCGCAAAAACGCGAGTTTTTTTTTGAATACTAAAGGAGCATAGTGTTAGCTTCCTTAAAACATATTTCAATCAACCGGATCGAGATCGGAACATATACTTAATGTCTCCACTTTAGTGCCACCAATTCCCTTTTTAAGAAACAATAGGCAACTTTGATTGATGACAAAAAAAAATAACGGAATTTTGATCAATGTAAGTTCAGAAATAATGACGACTTACCTGACACATTATCGCCCATAGCACACCACATAAGAAAACTTGTCATAAAATTAGAAATAAAAAATTGAAATTATCTTGACGCATGCTCTTGGAATTTTGCAAAAATGCACATTTAAAGGCCAACTTTGGAATGGCACTGGCAAAAAACCGGTCGCACCCTTAGCAACAAAACTATATATTATAGTTCGTGGACACCTGCATCCACGCACAACGTCCTAATCGTGCGAGATAACCTATCAGAAAAATTTTACATTTTCCGGGAAATTTCTTCGATAGGTATTTTTGCACCATTAGGGCGTTGCGCGCGGGTGCACCATCCTGTTGAAATTAGCAGAGTTGTCTACTTTTGTCTTTTTTTCTGTACCATATATTGTTGTATTAGTAAAAAAAAAAATGCTACTCAATACAGTGAGTATACATAAAAAATAAAGTTGATGATTTCTCTGAAACGAAGCATGGTATTAAAACGGCGTTTTGTAGAGCTCCAATAGTGGCAATGAGAAAGTGTTTTTTATTGTTTTGTATTTGTTCAAATACCATGACAAAAAAAATAAAAGCCAAATCGGAAAATTTCAGTTTCTTTGACATATCTTCGGAAGTAATCGAAATATTCTGGTTTTCATCAAAGCATGACAATAACTGTTTAATTGCGCAATTATTCCCTAATTTGACCATCCTCGAATCTATGTACCTTAGTGATAGAGCGTTGGGCTACATAGCTGGAGGTTGGGTGTTCGAACCTGGGCTGAGGTAAGAATTTTTCATCTGTGGCAGAAAAGGGAACTTCCTGAGGTCAGTTTCGAGCATTCTGCCGGCTACTCCGAATTAGGTTTTCTTAATTCGTAAGGTAAATACTGGAGTAGTATAAAACAATTTAATAATAATAATAGTAATAAATATTATATTATAAAATAAAGCATTATGCGGGTCACTCTGTAATTGGGCGCAGAACAAGAGAGGGATAATAATAAATAAATAAATAAATCTTCTATGGTTTTAGAGCTCCCCTTGATAGACATCCTTATCTTGGACACAGTGTGTATGTTTTCTCTTTTATGACATGTATTTCAAATAATTACCACCCATTTTCCGTCGATCCCGTTTCACACGATTAAAACGCAAATTCAATGAGTATGTCCGTGTACATATACATAATCAGTATTTTGATTTTGAACAGCTAGGATAGCTCACTAGTGTGTATTCATACCTGCTATAAGGATTGCTTCCCAAATAAAATTAATCACCACGGAGTAAATCGTTTGTGCACCTCTCATACCTAATTAAATCCGCTTGCTTTCCGAAACACGACTTTTATTCCGGCTCATATTACTTGTACAAATTAATTGGCGAAAGTTTGACACCGCTATCTCTTATATTTCTCGAGTTCGACGATAAAAAGGTGGACCGACGGATAAAACCATCACATAAGGGGAATTTTTTCCCCTAAAAACCAGTAGTGCGGACCAATGATGCCAGCTTTGCTATCCAAATACGTCCGATTAATATAATCGTTATGTGCATAATTTTTTTTATTTTACCCTTAGTAGCTTTGCTAGGGGTGTTTAACTATGGCAATAAAGATTAAAAGAAAACGTTGTTTAATTTACATCTACACCTCTCCAATGTTCAATCTCTACGTTGTAACGAAATATTTTCTCTCTCTAAAATTGGGCATGATTGTTGTAGGTGTTTTAAATGTTTCTCCCTGTAGGTATGTGTTTATGTAAGGATAGAAATTAGGTTTTTTCCAATACAGTTAATACCTATTTATCCCATCAAGCTTACATACACAGTGACATGGATAGTGTGTAACTATGGATTTGGTAAATGAGGTATTCATCAGTATATCTATGCACATTTGTCAAAATTAATTAATTTTGCTTCTGCTGTGAATTATCAAAGGCAACAATAACGTCCGTTGTAAGCATTGAATTATAATTTTTTTGTAAATGTGCTCTCTGGTAATAATAATGTGTTGTGTTACTTACAGGTAAAGTTGCCGTCGCGGGGCGGCGTCCAAAGCAAACCAAAGTTGGAGAAAAAGGCGTCTAAAAATGATTCCGACATGGACATTGGCACATATCCTCCTAATTGGAGTTCGCCGGTTGCAAAAAAAGCAAATAAAACGCCTACTAGGTAAGTATAATCGGCAATGCAGAGTGCATTACTATTACTATTGTGATTTTGTGTTAAAATTTTCGATATGTTGGTAAGTGATAACATTGTATTGGAAATAGTTTTGTGCTATGTATGTAAGCTTGTCCGTCTTTCCTACACTCCCGTCCTATACCTTACCACATTACAGTTTGAGCACTACGGATAAGCCGTGTCGGCCATGCTCCATTCGCTGCCAAGGAGTATCGGGGATTATTCCCACGCTACAATGCCGCATTTGCCTTTGTCTCTACCATTATGAGTGCGTCGGCCAGTCCCCACTATCTGCAATTCAAGGCTATGTGTGCAAGGTACGCACTGCTTAGACTAATGTACTCCTATAAATAGTTGGCAATTAATGTAAACTGCAAAGTAACTTACATTGTTTTCTGCAGAATTGTCAGCTGGAACAAGACCCGAACACAGGCTGTACATCTACAGTTGCACCTCCTCCTCCCCTCACTCCTATCAATGCCCTCAAATCTGTACATACCCAACCCACCACCTTACCTAAACTTCAACGAATACCGCGCTCAAACGAATCTGACACCGATTTGAAACCAACTCCACAACCTGTGGAGGAACCACCCGAGTTTCCCCCAACTGAATTACCACGTTTAACTCCGCGACCCACTCTTTTACCTAAGACATCTACTTTCACCGCTACTTCTGATAAAGTTACCATACCCCCCTTGCAAATAGAAAAAAACAAAAGCATCGTAGGTTCAGTTACAACGTGGTTCCCCTCCAGTTCCACGATTCAAGTGAATGCCAGTAATAACCCCACATCGATATCTGAAAATATTTTAGTGGCCCAGCAACGTCCACAACACGTGGAATTTTTGGGGACTAAACAATTTTTAATAATTCCCAAGCAAAACATTCTGGCAATCTGTCCCACATTTCCGACGAGCGCGACCGCTCTTACAAGAAATAAACAGGTAGATCACGATGCTCAACTCAAAGTTGCGGCCGAGGGCTCGACGGAGGTCGCCAGCACCCCCGATTCCGCCAGTTTAGGTCCTCCTGTTGAAGTTTCCTCGATCAAAACCGAACCTGTGTCGCCCCTAAAATCCTCCGATCCCGCTCCCACCCCCGCTCAAGAGCCGATGGAGGTACAATCCTCTGAATCTGATCAGATTCGAGACGATTCTACTGCACAGAAGAGACCCGAGGAGAATCCGGATGAAGATCAAGAGTGAGTGTTTTTTTATGAAATACCTATTTAAAACGTATCCACTCTAATTTAATTTATTTTTGCAGGCTTCAGTTCCTTTAGCCTCTCCTTCAGCCAAAACAATTCCAATACATTTGTTATTTTTTTTTAATTGTCAAATTTGAATTCATTTTTTGAGTTGAGTCGACTAATATTGCATCTTGTTGCGCATGCGTGAAGTTTGAATATTTGGCAGATTGCCAATCCTAAATAAGACAAATTATATGAGATAAGTATTTGAAAAAGTGTGATGATAGGGGAGAAAGCTTCGTTTTCCAAAAGTCTCAAAATTTGCGTTTTTTCAAAAAATTTGTTCCTACGTTTTTCGATACACCCTAAAAACGTCATGTTTGAAAACTTAGGTTAGAGCCTGAGTTTGCAGGAGTTTTTTTTTTGCAATGTAAAATACGGTCTATATCCTGTTTTTCCTCGTCTTTTTCTACCGAAAGTATGGTGTATGTACTCTTTGCCTCTTGTGAACAGTCAGTTTTGCGTTTGGGGCGTACGGTGTGTATTATTTTGTTCTGTGCACGACTATTCATTTTCATTCTATAACCATTAGATAATACATTCATATGATTTGTTATATCCTTTTTGTGTTATTTAACCAAGTTGTTTATAATCTTTTTCATTTTTCGTCTACCTTGCATTGCAGTCTATACATTTTGTACAATCTGATAGTGTGGTTTGGTCAATAGTTTTTTGTTGTTGTGCCAACCACAGCCTCCTTTTTTTTTTAAATTTCTATTACACTGAAAATCATATAATGTGAGACCTGCGCTTAATTTTGCAAAATTTGGGCACAACCTTTGTTTCATTTTATTTGATGATGACGACTGTAATGCACCTTTCTACTGTGTAAGGGATCTTTTATTTCTGGGTCGGATTGTACTGCAACATTTTGGCATCAATTTTTTCGTGGTACAACTTTTGATGATTTTAATTTAAAAAATCGAGTAATAAAGTTGCCTTCCAAAATCTTTGTATTTTTTATTGGGCCTTTCATTGATATTTAAATTTTAAAAAATTCTTCAAGACACTATGACTCCAGTTTTATACAAAGTTTGATTTGATCGAATTAAAAACACATTTTTTTTATCGATTGTAAAAATAAACATTTATTATTGAGTGGTGATTATTTTAATAATTAATTAACTTTTGGGTGCCGTTTAGATTGTTTTTTAAATTAAAAAAAAAACTACTAGGGTCATCTGCTTTTATAAACCCTGTGTGACACTGGTCATAAAAAAATTGTTCTACTATTGAGTCGTCATGTGGTTATGATTGGATTGCCAATCAAAATAATTTAAATTTTTGAATTCTGGTACTTCATTTTATTTTTTTCAAAATTTGAACTGTAGACAGACCCCGTTCTTCCTTTTTTCTAAAATTCAACTTTTCTTATTTAGTTGGGGTTCATTTTTGAGAAGAATATTGTATCTTTTTCAGCCGTCTTCATTTTTACATGCCCGTTCATTTCATCTTGGTTGCTATTTGTCTACTAATTGGCATAATGACTAATAATAACAAATTAAGAAGGAAAACAATCAAAGATTTTGAGAACGTATATAACTATTAAAAAATGTGAACATTAAAGTGTCTATTTCAACTCTTTGTGATGTTACCGTCTACTGTGGAAGATTTTATTGGCTCATTTTGTTGCAGAGCGAAGAAGAAGAAACAAAAGGTGATCCCTACATCACGTTCGGAATCGGAGACAGAAGATTTCAAATTCATGGATAGCTACTTACAGAACGTCGCCTACGGTTACAACACACTACTTTACGTATTCCAATATCTGAAAGTACAAGATCTGCTGAGGGCAAGCTGCGTCTGCTCAATGTGGAGAGATATCGCGAGTCATTCCATGCTTTGGAAAACCGTGCGTATGAAAAATTCGCAAATTCACAATTTCGGAGGTCTGGCTGACGCCCTCGAGAAGCACGGTACCGTCCATCTAGACTTGCGGAAGATGTTGCTGCCGAACACGAGCGGCGACGACATCTGGCAGGAGTTCACGCGCGAAATCGCCAAGGTTAGTTCGCTGAGAAAAATCGAACTTTGTCGGTGTCCGGCCTTTGTCGTCGAACAGCTGCCGATAACCAACCCAAAACTTCAAGTAATAAATTCGGTTACAATCAAATGCGAAACCATGAGTCTCGCGCCGATGGTCCACGTGAAGGAGTTGCAGGAATTGCGTCTGAAATCGACGGCCGGTTTCGCCCTCACTTCGGATTTAACCGCACTTTCGGATCTTACATATTTAAAACACTTATCCTTGACATCGATTAAGGAATTGAATAAACTAAACATTGACGTGATCGCGGATCTCAGAAACCTCGAGTCGTTGGAGTTGGGGGAGTGCACCGACTTTCCAAAGAATTTCGGCAGTGAGATACTGACCAGGCTTACGAAGTTGGAGAAGCTACGTCTGGAAAAGGGTCAAGGTAATTGTTATACTTTTGAAATTTTGGAGGCCGTTAAAAACATGGCCCACCTATATCAATTGGAGCTTGTAAATTTTGATATCAAACCTGGATTCGACTTGGCGTTAGGCGCGTGTCCCAACATTAAAAAGTTGCTTATAATACCAACGTACATCTCTCAAAGCGCAACAACTAATCATATGGTATTGGGTGGTGTCCTAAGGTTACAAAGTACATTGTCACAGTTTGTATGGGGCGTCACGTTAGAGTTATTACGAGTCACCGAATTATTCGTTGATCAGTGCGAGGAAGACAAAGAGAAGAAGGAGAAACGACCGATAGCTAATGGAGACAGTATACCCGTATTGAAACCGGTTCCTTTGGCAAGGGAAGGAATGGCTGCTGAAATATTACCCGCCCAGGAACCTCCACAAGTAGAAATTTTGCCACTCCCCAATCTGCAAAAGTTGCTCTTATCGAGTCTGCCCACAACTCGAGTGAAGATCTTAAAAATACCTTTCCACGCTACCTGGAGACAGAGCATACACGATTCGGTGAACTAAGTAGCATCTTATTTTAAGTGTAGGTGTACTATTAATTTTAAACGTTTATTTTATTTTGACCATTAGCTAACAAACTGTACGAGAAGTATGAAAAGTGAATGATTTTTTTTCTTGAAATGTATATTATTGTTGACTTTGTACAAAGAAAATGTCATGTATCACATTTTCAAATTAGAAAACTTGTCTCGAGATCCAAAGTTTGAGTACTTGTTATGTAAATTGATAAGATTTCTACCTTGACAATGTGTTTGTAGGGTATTACAAACTACAGCGTAAGATTTACAGTTTGGTTGTATCTTCTAAATTATTGACTTTTCAATAAATTTTATAAGTAAGCAAATGGTGCCGGTGTCATTAACTTATGAGCACTATTTTTTATTAAATATACAACAGGTAACCGACAGAAAATTATTGGGTTTGTTTTAAACAATTTTTTAACACAAATGGGGGCCACTACTAGTCCATTAACTGTGTCTTCTAACGATGCCGTTTTTCAGATGACTAGATACGAAGAATCGCATATAATTTTCAGGACGAGAAATTTTCCACGCTTACCCAATTAAATTCGTATTCACAAGTGCTGAGTTTTGAAACCATAGAAATCAATCGGAATAGATTTGAGAGCGCAAGCCATTTGGCTCTTGAACGGAGAAATCGAAAAATAGTTGATTAGTTTCATTAACAAGTCGTATTAGGTATGTTCAATTGACCTTTCATTATCATCAAAGTAAATACAATTTAGTTACATTCAATTGCGCTATCCCTAAACTTAATAGTTTGCTGCAATAAGATTATATAGCTCCCTATTTGTTCCTAATGGTACGTTTATATTTGCATTGTGACAGAATTCTGGATATAACAAATTTGTGTTTTTAGTGCATTTTCTATCGAGGAAGGTGCACAATTGCAGCAACTTAGTCTAACCCTTTGAGGCCTTAACTACTGCAAGTGTTCAATATATTTGTTTTTTTTTGCATTCCGTAATTGGGCAATGGTTACCTTTTTGTTTGTAGAGACTAGTAAAAAAAAAGCAGACATTGCACATTGAAAAAATCAGATCTGTGAAATTTCTTCTGGAGATCATTTGAACCATAGATGGTGTTCTAATATAAACACCAGCACTTGCAGAGAGTAACTGCTGCCACGTTGGGATGTGCGTTCCCCTCAAAAAGTCACGATTTAAAGTGCGCCACAATGGTCTACTATATTCATTTTAAGAAGGTAGTGGTAGAAAGCATAAGGGAGCTTTAACCTTCACCGTGATTGCGTAACACACGTCGATATGCTGAAAAATAAAACGAGTGACGAATTTTGTCAGCTAGTAGTTTCTATTACCAACTAAACTGTCATTGGTTGTTAATGTCAAAAGATCCAAGCGTGAAATCGTTTGATTTATATCTGTTCGCAGTGGTGGATATATCTACTTTACATTAATTTGGTGTCGTTTTATATTTTCCCTGTGTATGCTTATTTTCAAATACAGCACCTTATAATGAAAGCAGTATAGTGGCTTGCACCTGAGCGCCTTGGGTTCGATTCTTTGGCATCAAAAATTTTTTCCCACAAAAAATGCGTGCCCAATTCAACAGTTGGATATTAAGTTATTGCTCAAATTTTTTAAAACGCAAACTTACACAAAATGTGCATGCTCCAGTGAACGCAGTTCTGTAAGCGCTCATAAAGACAAACGTGGCGCTCATCTTGAAACTCAAATATGCACATGCGCAGCGTCAACTTTCCTATATATGAAGATATTACTAATAAAAATGCTTAGAAGTGCCCCTATAGCCTTTTGGGAAATACTGATCTATGCATGGAAAATGCACAGTTACATAATATAAATGACTGCTCATTTTGGTGTGCTGCGTATCGGTTACCGTATGCTCCACCACAGTTGAAAAAGAGGTTAATTGCATTCTTCAAAAACTGGACATAGCTCGCTGAGGTAGTAATGCTAATCAAGAAATTTTCCCGCCTGTTGCCGATGTCATATTTGGTCTGCGCCGTTATTCGCCATCTTATGGCGTGCGGCCTGTATATAGGTCGAAGAGCAGTGTTCTCTTGTTGTAAGGTAACAGTTAAAATCATGGAAAACTAGATTATAACTATCTTTTTTGCAGATACGTTCATTGCAATGAAGTTTGAAAAAAGCTTATAGCTATTTTTGGAGATTCTAAGCTGCGTAGTGGATTCAACAGATGGCGCAGCAGACGTGAAGGACCTAGTGACTAATACAAACAATGGCCACAAGCAGCGGTTAGCTCTGCTCATCCGCCATTAACAAGCAACATTTTTGGCGGGTTTGTATTGTTTTGTTAGAAGACGAAAGTCAAATGTTCTAATTAAAATCGATTATTTTTGGGGCATTTTAATGAAATATTTTTTAATTTGATGTTTTATGAGAAATCGAAACTTCGAAATTTTATATACAGAACACTACTTAACCACATACAAACCTACGCAGACGTCTGATGGGATAAGTCGGACCTCTACTCTGCCACTTGTTCCTACACCATCACTTCCACACCTTCGGCTCGTTCATCACTAAAATACCTAGACCTCTAAATTTCCATACAAAAGATATAGTTACTACTACTCGGTATAGGTTCGCTTGATACTGGTTTGTACACTATGGCTTTTCCATGTCTTCGTTTCATTCGTTATTTAAGTAGACCTGTTATTATACTTCCAGGCAAAAGGTATAGCTTTAGAATCAATGCCAAACAAGCCGAATTTCTTCCATCTCGCAAAAAGTTGGGCCAACTACCCTACCCACCCGAGCCGGCGACTCACCACGCCCTACGTCAAATCGTCGTCTGGGAGCTACGAATTTTAAAACGCGCGCATGTAACTCCACGGGCACGCTCTCTAGGCGCTCAACGAGGTCGAAGCGAATTTACTTAAGGGCGCGCCTGAAATGAAGTGGATACAGTAGAGGCTCGCAATGTCATAATATGTAAATGAATATTGCTTGAGCTACTTCTGCTTGTCATTGATAGATGTCTTTAGTTACGTTCAAGATAATTTTTCTGTAAGAACTACACACGTGGGCTAAAAATTTCCGCTCAAAACCATATTATTATATGCTCAAAACAACCATGGATCGCCAATCAATTGCAAATCTGTACATGATATATCTAATTTCGGATTTCTTTTTTGTTTAAAGGGACATCTTGGTATTTGTGGCTACACTAAAATGACACTTTTAGTTCCTATAATAGACACCTCAAACTTTTAATCAAAAAGCATACAAATCTCATTTAATACTAATCCCTTCGATCTCAAAGTGTGCATTTTACTTCACCGTTTCACTGTGAAGTAGAATAGTAGAACAGTAGAGATTGTCGCTCTCGTCGTTTAACTTTGAATTTCGATTTATCGACTATTTTGTTATCGATTTGCGTGTAAATTCTTTAATACCTACACCAAAACTTCCTTTTTCAAATACAATATTCAAAAACTTTCTACTCATTCGTAAAGAAACTTATTTGCATGCTTAAACCTTAGTTGATATGTACTCTTTCGCCACCTATCGGCATAAACCAAAGCAGTGCCGTTCTTAAGGCTGTAAAGTATCTACTGAACGGAGTATGTAAAGTTGCCTATTGTCAGTCGCCAAATTTAGCCATTTATAATTGTGTTTGATGACGGAAGCATAAACTTAGGCCAAAGATAATGCACATTTTCTATCTCTATAAACCAAGCGGCGCGGCGCAAGTTATCTTTTTGCATTCTCGAGCTCGAGGTAAACTTTTTAAGTCGTTTTTCTAAAAACAATTTCCAAAATTGGTATAAGTTCGTAAAGTTAATATTTATAAACAATACCTAATGCCAAGAAAATTTGTTTCCTTTTTTTTTCAAAATATGGCACCCAACATCCCTCGACGTAACCCCAAAAAAAGAAGATTATGCCGGCGTTATTGTCTAGCTTAAAGCATTCACCTTTCACAGGAATATTCAAACGCTTCTTCATCTTCACTCAGAATTCAGATATCGTGAATCGAAATTAAGCGTTTTCGGGTAACGAAACAGGTACACTGTCCAGCCACAAAGGACGTCTCATAAAAATTAATCAAAATCGACGTTTATTAAAAAAAATTAAAGATGAAGTTTCAGAACTTGCCTGGCACATTTTCAGTTAAATTTTATTCACTCGCTGATAAAAAGTAAACAAAAAAAATTCTACCCGTGTAGGGTCGGGAAAGAATAACCCTACCTCAGAGGGCACTGCGTGTCGTAAGAGGCGACTAAACAATTGCACCTTGGTCGCAACCCCGAATATGGAATGGCGGGATATGTAATGAACGTGTTTGAAGAATTGTTACGGATTACCCAGGTGATGGATGTTTGCAGGATGACCAACAGCTCTTACTTACCGCCAGTCCTGGATTAAAGGGCGAACCGAAGCTCCGATATCCTAGGGTGAGTATTATCATAGTACAATACAAATATATTATGGCATTATCATTGTGTATTAAGGTATATATATATATATATATATATATACAATGGTATTTATACCCTCATGAAAATGTTCCAGTTATTTGTAGCTTATAACAAAGAAATTGTTAATTCTGATTTTTTACGGAATCGTGTGTGATGTACTTCCGAATGAATTATTAATAGGTACCTATCCAGCAGAAAGGCGCTAAAATTAATAAGCAATAATCCTTCTTAATTTACAAAAATTCGCGTGACCTTCGTGTCAGTTTTAAGTACATTGTATTGAATTATGGAGCATTGTAAAATGGCATATTCATCCTTGTTACGGAAATGCTGCCACAAATAAGTACCTATCTTAAAGTTTTATAAGCCAAAATTTCCGATTGCCAAATAAGTGATGGTACCTACTGCATTAGTGTAGGAATGTAGGTATATACTTCTGAAATTCCTTACTGACTAAAATTAATTATAATTGTTTTCGCTACTATTTATTATTGTTATTAATGGTTACTTGTCAATTAGCACGTAGTCACTTAGCTATTCTACTCCTATAAAAAGCCTAATGTAAATTTCTGTTGTTTTATAGGCCATAACGCTTTGTACATTTTACAAAGATGAGTATTATAATGACGTACCTACGTTCCTACTAATTAAAGTGTAATAAAATTTTAGAATCGTGCATATCCTGCAAATAGAGCTTCCTCATTTACATATCCGGTTGTTTACAGATCGAAATCTATTCATTATGTATAGGTACCTGTTATATTTAGGAGAGTGCCTACTTTTTCACTTTATTCTACGCAGCTTATATGAAAATACGCAAATTAGCAATATTGGTAATTACATCTTTTCTATATAGAATAAAGAATGATAGTACACACAGGTTGTTCGCTAGGCGGCAGGCCTTTCTCTTAATTAC